TGACAATATGTCAAGGGGATACTGAAGTAGCACAATGTACAGGGTATGTTCGAAAAAACACTTCGCTTGGGTCACTTCGTCGAACCTCACGAAAATGCTCGTGAGCCGGGTGGCTGCGTAGAAGTAGCCATCCCGCAAGGAGGCATCCAACTCTCCTTCTTGGCAAGGGGTTCTGATAGGGTTTGCAGGGTTTATAGGGTTTATGGGGTTTGTGGGTTGACAGGGTTTGTAGGGGTTTATAGTGTTTGTGGTGTTTATGGGGGGTTTATGGGAAAAAAGGGGCTTTGGCGCTTGCAAGCATCCCTGAACCGCGATGCGAGGTGTGCGCGCCCAAGCTTTCAAAGTAGGGTTTAGGGTTTAGGGTTTAGGGCTTAGGGTTTAGGGTTTAGGGTTTAGGGTTTAGGGTTTAGGGTTTGGGGTTTAGAATAGCAAGAATTGGCAATAATTGTAGGAGTCTTAGAATCACATGAGGGTATAAGAATACAAGACGGTTATAATGCAAGTAAAACTTGATTGATTGCTGGAAAACATTTTAATACTGTGTTATGTTAACCGTAGAATAACATACGAGTACTGGCATATTCGGATACTCTGAAAAGCCCAGCTTGTCCAGAGGCTTGAATCTTGCAACTTCACCCGAAACCCTTATAACCTGTAACCCCTAAATTACCCTTTCGGCCCTAAACTCTAAAACCCTCAACCATAGAATAGCCTATAAACCCTATAAACCCTTTGTAAACCCTATAAACCCTGTTAAACCCTAAAAACCCTGTTAAGCCCTGTTAAACCCTATAAACCCGATAAACCCTAAACCCTATAAACACTAAAAACCCTGTAAAACCCTGTTAAACCCTATAAACCCTCAAAAACCCAAACCCTATAAACCCTAAACCCTATAAACTATAAACCCTAAACCCTAAACCCTAAACCCTAAACCCTAAACCTAAACCCTAAACCCTAAACCCTAAACCCTAAACCCTAAACCCTACAACAACTGTGGACTCCGATGGCAGCCCGAGCGGCCCGGCGGCCATCGGCAGCAGCCGAAAAACCAACCTCGGCCACGACAGGGATGGAAGAGCCGCAAAGGGTTTAGGGTTTAGGGTTTAGGGTTTAGGGTTTAGGGTTTAGGGTTTAGGGCTTAGGGTTTAGGGTTTAGGGTTTAGGGTTTAGGGTTTAGGGTTTGCTGGGGCGCCAAATGAGTGCCAAACAGTGCGGTTCCAGCTTTTCGCCAAAGTGCCAACGCCGAAACAGTTGCAGCCACAACCAAGGATCCCACAAACCCTACACCCTCAACCCCTAAACCCTAAACCCTATACCCTAAACCCTAAACCCTGAACTTAAACCCACTGCCAACACCAGCAGAGTGGCACAGCTCCGTGGAATGGAGTCGCTTCCATCTGGGCCCATGGCACCAAGAAGGGTTTTCAGAGTCTTTCTGGATTTCTCGGGCTGCCAGCTTGGGTATTAGGGTTTGGGGGGCTTTTGGGTTTGCGAGAGTTTGCGAGAGGTTGTAGCTGGAAACCTGTAGGGGCTTACTTACAAGCAGGGAAGCCGCCTTCGGGAAAGAGAGAAGAAGAAGTCCTAACCCTACACCCTAAACCCTAAACCCTAAACCCTAAGTCCATCAGGATCCGCCTGGCCAAGTCTTTCGCACGAGCAAAGGACTTCACGTCCGAGCTCACGAACACACCTGGAGCACTTGTGGGATGGCCTTTGTGTCTTCGTACGGCGGCTCTGAGGGCTTCCGGTCAGGTTTAGGGTTTTGGGGGTTTTGGGGGTTTTGGGAGTTTTGGGGGCTTTTGGGGGTTTAGGGTTTATAGGGTTTAGGGTTTAGGGCTTAGGGCTTAGGGTTTAGGGCTACACTGTAGGTTTCTCACCGCCCTTCAAACCATGCAACACTAGACTGCAAAGGCAAAGCACTGCCAAGGACTTCAATCAGGCAGGCGTGCAGACCACACTTGCGCATGACGCGGCGTTGGAGGCGACCCTTGGAACTCAAAACCCTAAACCCTAAGACCTAAGCCCGAAGCTCCCAAATGAGAAATTCCTGACCCTAAACCCGAAAACCCTAAATACTAAGCCCTGAAACCCTGAAACCTAAACCATACTACTCGCCGGACACCTGTCGGAAGCCACCGAAGCCCTCAGCCCTTCAGAAGTCCGAACAGAAGCCATGTCAGGCTTGACGTGGCGGTTTAATCGCGGAGTTTAGGGTTAGGGCGGTTAGGGTTTTGGGGTTTAGAACCCTAAACCCTAAAGCCTAAAACCTAGGGTTTTGGGGTTTTGGGCCCAGGGCGAAAGTGGAAGCCTCCCCCCTTCCCGACGAAGGACCCCCAACGCTGCCCCCCTCGAGACTTTCAAGCAAACGCAGCACGCGGCCAAACGCTGAAGACTGTGTGGCCCTAAACCCCAAACCCTAAACCCTTAAACCCACACCCTAAAACCCAAACCCTAAACCCCAAACCCCAAACCCTAAACCCTAGCCCTAAACCTTAAACACGCTTGAAGCCGACCTTGAAGCAGCTCCTCACCGCCGAGCTCCGCCTCTGGTGGCTGCGCGTGGAGGAGAAAGAGGCCCGAGTCCCAGGATCCTGGTTTCTGGTTTCTGGCTTAGGGTTTAGGGTTTAGGGTTTAGGGTTTAGGGTTTAGGGTTTAGGGTTTAGGGGTAGGGTATAGGGTTTAGGGGTAGGGTATAGGGGAATCAGGATTGAGGTACAGGGTGTATTCGCTCTGCACATTAAAGAGCAAGGTGCGAGACGTCAGGTCACCAAAGCCCGCTTCAAAGGTGCAAGCATGCAAAGTCTACCGGCTTCATCGTCGTGGGGTTCGAGACCCTAAGCCCCAAAACTCAAAATCCCCAAACCCCAAACCCGAAAGCCCTACGGCCTCAAACCCCACAAGCCCTTTTAAACCCAAACTTCCTACTAAAGCCCGCCCAAAACCCAAAATCCTTAAAGCTAAAGCCCTGAGCCTGACACAGAATCCGAAACCCTAAGCCCAATCCCCACAACCCCCAGCAATGTTAAAACCCTTCTGGGCTGCTTACGGAATCTGAGCCCCATGATAACCCAAAACTTCCTAAATCCCCAGTTGGCATCCTTCTCTGATTCGTAACGGCGAGGCCCCAGGTTATGGTCCAGGGTTGAGTTTTGCGTGACGTTGAACTACCCATGAATGCAACTGCCCCAGAAGTGGCTGGCTGCAGGTTTTGACTTTTGAGCACCCCATTCCACAACCACTCAACTCCCCCGCCCCGCCCCCCCACCCCCCCGACAAAAAATATAAATCACACACACACACACATAAAAACCCTACTGCCCTGGTATTTATAAACAAGGACAGTCAGAACAATTGTTAAATACAATAATTGTCTCTCATTAAACAAAACCGCCCAGGTAAAGCCCAAGAACTCGAACCTCTGTGTCCAAACCCTAAACCCTAAACCCTAAACCCTAAACCCTAAACCCTAAACCCTAAACCCTAAACCCTAAACCCTAAACCCTAAACCCTAAACCCTAAACCCTATGCGTTGGAGCTCCCCAAGGCCTCCATAGGCCACGGGCTGATTCTGCATGTCTGCTGAGTACGGCGCCGTGCTCCACACAAGGTCCTCCTTCGAACTTCGGACTTCAGCTCCCGAGTTGAGTGGTTTTTGGGGCTTAGGGGTTGGATGCTTTCTGAGGGTTTAGGGTTTAGGGTTTATAGGGTTTAGGGTTTAGGGTTTAGGGTTTAGGGTTAGGGTTTAGGGTTTAGGGTTTAGGGTTTCAGGTTTAGGGCTTAGCTACCCTGAGGAACCCATTCCCTTGGCTTCAGGGTTTAGTTAGGGCTTCGGGTACGGAGACGAAGACCTCTGCACACAACGAGCAACTTCAAGCCTTTCAGACCCTGAACTTTACGCAGAAGGCTTCGGAGGTTGGGGCTACTGCAGGGCTCGGCAAGGTTCGCGTCGTGAGCTTGGAGACACTGTGGGCTGACAGGGTGATGCCCCAGGGTTGATGGGGTGTCTGTTGCTGACCTTCGCAAGACCCCCGAAACCGAAATCCTAAACCAGGGGGGAGGGGGGGAGGGGACGGGGAGCGAAGGCTTACATCGCTGCGCTTCCAAAAAAACCAGGAGGATCTCGATGTACCACTCTTTGGGTGATTCTGGGAACCTTTCGGGTATGCTTTCTAGCTCCTCCCAGGGCTTTGGCAGAGCCGTAGAGTTTGCGGGTGAGCGGTTCGCGGTGACCCCTCTCGACAAATTTTGGAACTTACGCTGGCTACATCCCGCAGCTCAGGCTACGGGACGCGAGGAAGTATACTCCGACGCTTGCGTGCGCGAGAGGAAGACCCACCGCATCGACGCAAAATTGATTGAGAACCCTTGGCAACGACACGCTACATGCTACTAACACAAGGGCCTTAATAGAAAGAGCAGGGCTTTGGGGGAGAAATGATCGTAGAACTACACAGGGACCATAAGGGAATACGATTTGCAATTATTCCGACGCCTATAGTACTACCAACATCAATAGCGACTTCCATAAAGAGCTCTCGCAGAATCCCCGACTGCCCCAAGCTTCTTGGGTACAAACCCGCTGCACCCTTTTGATCCCTGAGGGTTCTGTCCACTTGCAGCTTGCAGTGCTTGTTCAGCACCTTGGTACCCCAGCAACCATATTACAATGAGGTTAATTACCCTTTTTTTGGTTGGCTACTTTATAATGGAACCTTGAACCAAAAAAGTAGAAAGCAAGGGTACCACTGGGCGACCAAGGCACCAGACCCACGGATCCATCCTTCGTGTGACTCACGAGGAGGATGACCGACCTGCAAAGGGTCTGGGAGAAGGCGAGGCCGCTCTTTGCAAAACCATGGCGAAGCCCTCCAAATCCTGAACCGCCCGAAACACCTGCGCACCTGCACGATCATACACCTGAGCCTGAAGGCTTAAGAGTTGAGCTTACTATTGCGGCTGTTAAGGCCCAGACATCTCCAAGGCCCCTCCAACCACCTCCCGAAATTCAAAACCCCATTTGAGGGCGCCCTGGGTGATGTTTTGGATGAACTCTTCATGGACTCCAATGATGTTCCGAAAATACCTCCGGGAATGCTGTCGGCACCACGGGTCCTATAATAAACCTGACAATCCTCTAATATATGAATTACAATATACAGATATATATATATATATATATGTATGTATAAAATGTTTTGTAGTCTCCTACGCATGTTATATAGAACAGTATACACCGCAGCCTCCTTATAAGTGAGTCCACGAACTCTTGAGATCCTAAAACCCGGAACCCTCAACCCTAAGCCTTATCACTAAGCAAAACCAGTCAACAAAAACAGCTAACCTCAAAACAACCCTGAACCACCCTGTCCGGCCTGACCAGTTCCGGCTGGCAGCCAGCCGCTGGGAAAAGGGGCCGGCTCAACAGCAAAGCGCCGCGTTCGGCGCGCGCCGCGGGAAAGGCGAAGCGCACGAGGCCCAGTCTGTCGACTTGCATGCTCGACACCCAGCAGTTTTAAACCTCAACCAGGTTAATTGCGTGGAGCCCTGATAGGGACTCCACTAAATTATACCCCTGAAGGAGGGAGTATTCCTTGCATCAGATTTCGACCCGGAACAGAATGCACTGACACTGAATATTCCTTCCTTATGGAGTATTGGAGCCTCTGGGAAGAAAATCCGGAAACCCTAAACCCTAAACCCTAAACCCTAAACCCTAAACCCCCAACCCTAAACCCTAAACCCTAAAGCCCCAACCCTAAACCCTAAACCCCTAAAACCCTTCATGCCGGTCGACGGCTCGCGATCGGGTTTCTGGCTGGAGGTCTTCGGGAGACCTCACAGGGTGGGGCCTGAAGGCTGAAGCTTGTGAAAGCCACTGCCTTGCTTCGGGCTCCGGGTGGGTTTAGGGTTTAGGGTTTAGGATTTAGGGTTTAGGGTTTAGGGTTTAGGGTTTAGGGTTTAGGGTTTAGGGTTTAGGGTTTAGGGTTTAGGGTTTAGGGTAATTGTAGTTGCTCAAAGTTTACTTCAAAAACATAACAAGAATAAAAATAATGGTAAGAAGAATAACAATAATTCCAGTAACAAGAATTACAACAATAGTAATGATAAAATAACAGCAGTAGCAATAATAGCCATAGTAGTAGTAACAATAACAGTGAGTAAAGAATTGGTAGATCATGAAAAAAGTACTTAGGAGTAGGAATAAGAGTTCTAGGGTTTACAGTTCCCGGTTCTGGGCCTTGCCACGAAGTGCACTCACCCTAAACCCTAAACCCTAAACCCTAAACCCTAAACCCTAAACCCTAAACCCTAAACCCTAAACCCTAAACCCCCCCCCCCTGCCTTTGCAGAGCCAGCACGGAGGGCCGCCCGAGGCCTCACGAGGAGGCAGGGGTAGGCTGGAATGCGAAGTCCCGGTGTCGGCTCCAAACCCTAAAACCCTAAAGCCCTAAAGCCCTAAACCCTAAACCCTAAACCCTAAACCCTAAACCCTAACCCTAAACCTTGCAAGTTTCCCCACTTCTGCCCCTCCCTTGCGGCACCTCGGGCGCCCGCGAGGCGCAGGCGGCGCAAGGCCAGCTCCCCCGGCCGCAGCCTGCCCGCACGATCACCCCCAATCCCCAACCCCCACCCCGTTTAGGGTTTAGGGTTTAGGGTTTAAGGTTTAGGGCTTCGGTCTTATCAGGGCCCATACCCCAGCCCTCCATGGTTCAGGGTTGGGATGTTGACCCGTATACTAACAGCCCTGAACAGGGATTCTAGTAAGGGTACGAGAATCCCTAATCAGGACTCTTAGTATGAGGGGTAGCATCCCAGGGTTCAGTTCAGGGCTTCGGGTCCCAAAAAAAGAAGAGAAAGTATCAGATGCTTTAGGGTTTAGGGTTTAGGGTTTAGGGTTTAGGGTTTAGGGTTTAGGGGATAGGGCTTAGGGTTTAGGTTCAAGGGACGGGCGTAAGCCCCAAAAGCCCCGGCCAAAAAAAGACTCAAGCAACTGAAGCCCCAGCCCCGAAACCCCTCAAACCCCTTAAACCCCTGCTTAAACTCCTTACACCCATCTAAACCCCCTTAAACCCTAAACCGTAACCCTTAAACCCTAACCCCGAAACCCGAAACCATAAGCCCGAAACCCTAGACCCTAAACCCCAAACCCCAAACCCTAAACCCTAATCCTCAAATCGCCCCCATCCCAGCAGCGCCTCGGCCGAGGTGCCGGCTTCTCTGGCAGGCGCCTGAGGAGGGAGGAAAGGCCCTGCACTGCGCTGTCCTGGCGTTTAGGGTTTAGGGTTTAGGGTTTTAGGGTTTAGGGTTTAGGGTTTAGGGTTTAGGGTTTAGGGTTTAGGGCTTAGGGCTTAGGGCTTAGGGCTTAGGGTTTAGGGGGTTTAGGGTTTAGGGTTTAGGGTTTAGGGTTTAGGGTTTAGGGTTTAGGGTTTAGGGTTTAGGGTTTAGGGTTTAGGGTTTAGGGTTTAGGGTTTGGGGCTTAGGGCTTAAGGTTAGGGGTTGCAGGGTGGGAGGTCGGGCGACTTTGGGCTTTGGGGGTTTAGGGGGGGCCTCGAGATTCAGGGTTAGGCTTTGAGTGCTTTGGAGGGTTTCAGGGTTTAGGGTTTAGGGTTTGGGGTTTGGGGTTTAGGGTTTAGGCTTTCAGTGCTTTGGAGGGTGGGTTTCAGGGGCTTCGGGCATTCTGGGGATTATACGGCCGGAAAGCTTTCCAGAAGGGCCCAGACAAAGAGACCTCTGGGGACCCTGAGACCATTCAAGCCAAACCTAAACACTAAACACTAAACACTAAACCCTAAACCCTCAACCCTAAACCCTAAACGCTAAGCCCTAAGCCCTAAGCCCTAAGCCCTAAGCCCTAAGCCCTAAGCCCTAAGCCCTAAACCCTAAACCCTAAACCCTAAACCCTAAACCCTAAACCCTAAACCCTAAACCCTAAACCTGCAAGTAGGCCACCTAAAGCCCCCAAGTAGGCCATCTAAAGCCCTTAAACCCCCTAAACCCCGAACCCGGGCAACCCTCAAGAACGCAAAACCCTGAACCCTAAACCCGAAACCCTAAACCCTAAACCCCTTGCCTGCGTATTCCTTGGGAGCCCTAAACCGCAGTACCACATCCCCCCCCCCCCCCCCAGCTTCCTGGTGGAGTGCAGCGCAGCGCGAAGCATCCACCACCTCCACGAAGGGCCTCAGGGGTAGGGTGTAGGGTTTAGGGTTTAGGGTTGAGGGTTTAGGGGCTAGCTTGGCCATTGAGCCTCTGAGACATGCTCCGAAATAGCCCAAGAACGGAAAACATCGAAGAGTCAGAAGAAAATTCCAACGGGCTGCCTCTAGGGTGCTGGATCCAGGGTGCCGGGGGGGGGGGAGGGGGGGGGGGGGGTTACGGGTTGTTGGGCTCATCCTAGGTGGATATTGGGATTTCCAAGAAACCCGTGAGTGAGCGACCTTAAGGCAAGACAGAGCGCACAAGGCGTGCGCTTCGAGTCGTAATACCAACACCCTTAGCCTTAGACAACAATCTGAACAGCAAGCCCCGCAAAAACCCGAAAGCCCCCTACTTAAACTCAATACACCGGAAGTACTGAACCCTGAAACGCCCTAAACTCCAAACCCCAAACCCCAAACCCAAAACCCTAAGCCATAAACCCAAACACTAAATCTTAAACCCCTAAGCCCCAAGAACCCTAAGCCCTAAACCTAAACCGCCAAAACCCCAGAAACCCGAGGCCGACACCTCAAACCCTAAACCCCAAACCCTAAACCCCAGCCCTATAAACCCCCTAAACCCAAAACCCCCAAAACCCCCCAAAACCCTAAACTCCAAACCCAAAACCCCTCAAAACCCTAAACCCCCAAACTCAAAACCCTAGCCCTAAACCCCCAAACCCCTAAACCCTAGCCCTAAACCGCAAAACCCCTAAACCCCCCAAAACCCTAAACCCCAAAACTCAAAACCCCTAGCCCTAAACCCCCAAAACTCAAAACCCTAGCCCTAAACCCCAAACCCCAAAACCCCAAACCCTAAACCCCAAACCCTAAACCCTAAACCCTAAAGCCTAAAGCCTAAACCCTAAACCCTAAACCCTAAACCCTAAACCCTAGCTCCTCCGCTGGATGGCGCGCAGCGCCGCGCCCTGCGGCGCCCCGCTCCCCAGCGCCAGGGTGGTGGCCGCGCGCAGCGCCGCAGCGGCCCAGGAGCTCCCCAAGAACAGGGTTTAGGGTTTAGGGTTTAGGGTTTAGGGTTTAGGGTTTAGGGTTTAGGGTTTGGGGTTTAGGGCTTTTGGGGTTTGGGGTTTAGGGTTTAGTTTTTGGGGTTTAGGGTTTGGGGTTTGGGGTTTAGGGTTTGGGGGTTGCTGTCTATAGGGTTTTAGAGTTTAGGGTTTATGGGGTTTAAGGGCACGATTGAGTATTAATGTAGTTTTTAGGGAATTGGGGATATGTAGGGAACTCCGGAAATTTTAAGGGTATTTGGGGAGAATTTTAGAGCATTTACTAGGAATTTGAGTTTTGTACCAGGGTATTTAGGGCATTTAAGGTACTTCGGGCGTATGAGCTCTCTCAAAGGCCCGAACTGGCCTGTCAAGCAGCAGGCAGCACGCACCGCAACCTGCGAAATTGACGACCGCGATCATCCACGCAGGAGCCTCGCCAGTCAGGCGAGGGAAGTACCCTAAACCCTAAACCCTAAACCCTAATAACCCTAAACTCTAATAACCCTAAACCCTAAACCCTAAAAACCCTCAATTGCGCTCAGAGTTGGTCCTGTTATAGGGCTTCGACGCATGAATTCACGAGTCTACGTTCAGGGCATTCATCAGGGGTATTTATTCAGGTACTTGTTAGGGTATTTAGTCGGCCATTTGAACCCTAAACCCTAAACCATTTGGTTTGGGGGGCTTAGGGTTTAGGGTGGGGGGTTGCGGCAGCATATCCTGCACGTTCTCGACACTTGTTCTCGGGCGAGCCGAACCCGATATCAACTTCCCCATTGAAGCATCGGACTTATGGATTAAGGGTTTGGGGTTTAGGGTTTAGGGTTTAGGGGTTTAGGGTTTAAGGGTCTAGGGTCTAGGGTCTAGGACCCAAAAGCCATAAGCTACAAGGTTCTTGAGGGAGGTGGGTTCAAGGGTAAGGGTATGTCACCCAAGGTTCCTGAATACCCTATAAGCAAAATCTTCAACAAACTCAAACCTCAACCCTAATTACACGAGCTGATCCTCGAAACCCATCGAAGCCCACTTCATGCCCCCCCGCCCCCCCGCCTCCGCCCCCCCAAAAAAGTCCCAACACCCTTGAACGTAGAAGCCCCGCCCCACAAAAACTGCAGGCAACCAAAACCCTGAAGCCTAAACCTAAGCATTCTTTAGGGGTATATGGCTTTAGGGGGTTTAGGGGGTTTAGGGGGGGATTTAGGGTTCGGGGCTTGGGGAGTTTGGGGTTGAAACCCTAAACCCTAAACCCTAAACCCTAAACCCTAAACCCTAAACCCTAAACCGAGACGGGTGCAGGGGCCTCTTTGGGCTCCGCGAGCTCGACTTTCAGAGGATCGATGTGGTCGGGGTCCGCCATCGCCGCGGATGAGGGTTTAGGGTTTAGGGTTTAGGGTTTAGGGTTTAGGGTTTAGGGTTTAGGGTTTAGGGTTTAGGGTTTAGGGTTTAGGGTTTAGGGTTTAGGGTTTAGGGTTTAGGGTTTAGGGTTTAGGGTTTAGGGTTTGAGCTTACGGAGTACCCTTGGCTCCAATAGAAAGGGCTTCTCAGATCTACCAGTCAACCTCCAAGCAGAGTGCAGCCAACAACCAGGGCAGTAGGATTTAGAGGGCGGGGGGGGGGGGGATTGCAAAGAGCCACACCCTGGGAAGGCGGCTTTGGGAACAAAATGATCCAGCACGGCTGCGATGTCGGGTCGAGCGCTCAAGAGATACTGGCCGCACAGCTCTGACTGACTCGTCAGATCTCGCTAGGGTATAGGGCCCGGAGCTGAAGGCTCTTGAATACTACCTCTACCCTAACATGGGCACAGCTTGTCTGCACATGTCTGCACATTGCCTGGAAAATTGGCAACATCGGGGCATTGAAAAAAAGTTAGCATGGGGAGAACGGCAAGACCCTCAGCAGGTCTGCAACCATGCACTAAACCCTAAACCCTAAACCGATATTATGAAGGCAAAACCGCCTAAACCTGTAAAGAGGACTCCTGCTTCATCGGGAGAAAAGCAGCCTGAGTCCGAGCTACTCCGAACTAACCTAAACGCCAAGTATCCCTATGCCCTCATGAAATACCAAATCCAACATCAACCAGAAACTTACCCTAAACCCTAAACCCTAAACCCTAAACCCTAAACCCTAAACCCTAAACCCTAAACCCCAAAACGCCCGGCCGCGCCTTCAGGCACCGCCGGAGGCTGGGATGACCGTGGCGACTCAGGGTCGGCCTCCTCGGACTCGAAGCTCTCGGATTCAGACCTCTGGAGCTCTCTGCGGCTTAGGGTCTAGGGTTTAGGGTTTAGGGTTTAGGGTTCAGGGTTCAGGGTTCAGGGTTTAGGGTTTAGGGTTTAGGGTTTAGGATTGAGGGTCGGGTTTCCTTGGCGGGTTTTCAGGGTTTTGGGGGGGAGGGGGGAGGACGGGGGGGAGGACGGGGAGGGGGGGGGGGGGGGGTGGGGGGGGCGTTTCTCGGCCGATTTTTTTTGGTTTTGAGTTACTTTTGTTGAGGAAAGCTCTCTTCCTCTAGAAAATTTTGATTGAGGCTTACGGGTCGTGAATTTGTAGGATTCAGAGGATTCAGAGGGGCATCCGGGATTTTTCGGATGTAGGGCTTCCGGGCTGAAAGCGCCTGTTAATGGAGGCCGGGCTCATACCCCCCATAAACCCTAAAAACCACTCTATCATATCTAATATATAATTTTACTGAACCATTGGGCAAAGCCACAAAACATTGGGCAAGGTCCTAATAACGCTGAACCCTAAACCCTAAAACCTTATCACCCTAAACCCTAAACCCTATAAAACCCAAAACCCAAAACCCCTAAACCCCAAACCCAAACCCTAACCCCTAACCCCTAACCCCTAAACCCGAAACCCTAAACCCTAAACCCTAAACCCTAAACCCTAAACCCTAAACCCTAGACAGGCCCGGGCTTCTTAGATTGGTCGGGACCCTCCGGCGGCCTCGACTTCCATTGGACTTGCACTCCCACCTTCCAGGGCTCCATGTGAAATGTGTTTGGGGTTTTGGCAGGAGAATGGTTTAGGGTTTAGGGTTTGGGGTTTAGGGTTTAGGGTTCAGGGTTTAGGGTTCAGGGTTTAGGGTTTGGGGTGTTTAGGGCTCGGGATTTGGGGATTTATGGCCCGCCTCGGGGGTAAAACGGCATAGTCGGGCTTCGGCGGGAAGCTGTACTTACCACAGCCGTTGCCCCTGCACGTGGCGCCCCTGGAAAATAGAACCCCTACTTGGAATTTCATGGTACTTAGTAACCCAACTATAACTGTACGCATAACCTTATTATAACTATAACCCTACTAGGGTCCGTGTATGTGGGCTATGACTACACTTATGATGGGTTGCTAAGTGGCCTGCACCTCCAAGTAAGCCCTAAACGCCAAACCCTGCGGTCCCAAGCAGCCATCAACCTCCAAGTGCATTGGCATTGGCGTAGAACCCTGAACCTTGGGATGTTCCCCCTCATACTCACAGTACTTAATAGGGATTCTAATAGGGGCGACTATTATCCCTATATGAAGTTAGAATGAGGGGAACGTCCCAACCTAAGCCCTAATTATTCCCTAAAGACTTCAAGCTTGCAGTCTGCCGCCGTTTAGCTGGCAAGAGCCCCTTGGGCCACCTGAAATACCCGCGAGAGAATTTGGGCACCCAGGGGTTTAGGGTTTACGGTTTTGTTTGTTTTTGTACCTTTTGAAGGTGAAGTGGACGTTCGCTCCACAAACTCCTGTCCCGGGGAACTTACACCAAAAGCGAAGGAAAACACGAGAACCCAAAAGGGCCCTCAGATGAACAGCGAGGTGGAGGTGGACAGTGAAGAGGTCGAGGGCCACGAAGAGGGTTCAGGTCTCGGGGTTTGGGGTTTAGGGCTTGCGGCAGGCTAAGAATCGAAAACGAAGAATGGATGATATGGGATGGAAACATGAATCCTATCGCCCTAAACCCTAGACCCTAAAACCTAAACCCTAAACAATCCTAAGCCCTCAGCTCCCGCTGCTACTGTAAGGCTTCCTTTCCAGCCAGGGCGGGGTCGTTCTACATTCGCATTCGCGGCCCTTTTTGTCGGCGCTTTGAAAGGAATTCTGCTATACAAGCTACCTAATATAGAGGCCTTAATAGTTAGATCCCACCCCCATATTACACACAAGTGAAGCAGTCGGTCGCGCCTCTTGCATGTAGCGCGGCGGGGTGGAAGACATAGCTGGCGGCCTAGCTTCATCTCACGGACCAGTAGCTCGAAATCCCGAACCCCTAATGACTCGCTGTCAACGAAGATTTGAAAGCCCTTACGATGAAGTCATCCGCTACATGCCTCCGCAGTACTGCGTGCGTTGAAAGTTGCACGACTGGCAAAAGCAGGAAAAGAGGGGAAAAAACCTCCAAACCCTGTAGGCATACTCGTCTCCAGTCACGGTCAACGCGCCGCCGCTCGCACAGCGCCTGAACCTCATCAACCTTGAAGCCCAAACTGCTAAACCTACGCTATTGTGTTCCTCTTCTTCCTTCTTCTTCTTTGTTAACTATCTTTATTACGATTCTTGGAAGCACTTCACAAGAAAATATACCGACAACAATCATTCATCTTGCCAGCACGTCTCACATGTGCCCAGTGGCTAGAAATAAAAAGCATAGTTGCTCGCAGCATTCTCATGCGTGGTCATTTTGCTCGCCTGATAACAGTCCCCAGTTCCAGCGGGTTGGTCCTGTATGCACCTCATGGTGAAACGCTGTCTTCGACAGCGCGATGCTGGCGAATTAACTGCCAGCTGGAAGTGGCGAAGGAAGAGGGGTGTGGAGCCACTGAAATTTTGAAGACTGGATTTCGGCCATCGAGGTAGTGTTCACGCATCGAGCCTCAAAGCACTGCGGAGCACCAAGTGCTGCAGCTTTGCGCAGCGCTTGACAGCAACGTCGCGCAAGTCCTCTCTGAACTCCACGAGGCCATCTGTGTCGGTCTGTTCTGGGAGCTCGTCGGACAAGAGCTCTATACTGAGGACCTCCGTGTTCATCAGGTCCCATCGAAGGGCCCGAGCTCGCAAGCCTGGCGGCCTTGCCTTCACCGAAATCTGGCCTGCGTCACCTGGACCCATGCCTAACGTCAGGCGCAGTGGAGCTGTGTCCCCGCTGCCTGGGCGCCAGGAGAACAAGCCGAGGCTCATCCCTTCGTTGGCCGTCTCCACGTCGGCTTCGATGAGCTTCTCCAGCACCTCCTTCGGGATGTGGAGAAATGTCAGCATCTCGTCCGTGTCTGCCGTCACATCCACCTGAGAGGCCCACCTCTTCGATGCATCAAGGGGCACAGCAGCAGCCGTCGGCTGCGGTCTGTAAAGACACACTGTAGGCAGATGGCTTTAATCGAGAGGTTGTTACCGCTGCGTCTTCGTCTTTTTGCATTCCATCTCAAGCTCTGGAGCTTCACCATGCCAGGTCAAACTGCAGAAACTACTGCTCATGACGTTGGAGGCTGAATCCAAAGCCCTGAAGCCCGAACAGGCCCACATTCGCTCCACAGTGGCGGTAGCGCGCCCTCGCGCAAGGGTTTAGGGTTTAGGGTTTAGGGTTTAGGGTTTAGGGTTTAGGGTTTAGGGTTTAGGGTTTAGGGTTTAGGGTTTAGGGTTTAGGGTTTAGGGTTTAGGGTTTAGGGTTTAGGGTTTAGGGTTTAGGGTTTAGGTGTAGGGTTTAGGGTTTAGGGTTTAGGGTTTAGGGTTTAGGGTTTAGGGTTTAGGGTTTAGGGTTTAGGGTTTAGGGTTTAGGGTTTAGGGTTTAGGGTTTAGGGTTTAGGGTTTAGCCTCGTGGCTCTTGACTTGGAATCAAGGCAGCCTCTCGAGCTTCTCGCTGCAGCAATCGACTCAACTGATCCACATTGAGCCAGTCTGTTCGATGCTTGACGCTGTTCTTGGTGGTGTTGTTGATGTGGCTGTTGTTGGTGTTGTTATGGGTGGTGATGCTGGTGTTGTTGTCCCGGTTGCCCTTCTTATTATTCTTCTTCGTCGTCTTCTTCTGCTGTTTCTTCTTCTTCTTCTCGTCACTCTTCTTGTTGTGGTCCACAAGATCGGACCCTAAACCCTAAACCCTAAACCCTAAACCCTAAACCCCAAACCCCAAACCCCAAACCCCAAACCCTAAATCCTAAATCCTAAACCCCAAACCCCAACCAGCATGCCCGGTTCTCGGCTTCGAACACAGGGGGCCATTCCAAGGCCTGCGTCGGCTTCGAGCGTTCGAGGCTTGGTGGGACTTGTCTTGGGGTTTAGGGTTTAGGGTTTAGGGTTTAGGGTTTAGGGTTTAGGGTTTAGGGTTTAGGGTTCAGGGTTCAGGGTTCAGGGTTCAGGGTTTAGGGTTTAGGGTTCAGGGTTCAGGGTTCAGGGTTCAGGGTTCAGGGTTCAGGGTTTAGGGTTTAGGGTTTAGGGTTTAGGGCTTTGGATTTGGGGTTCCGGGTTTAGGGTTTGGGGTTCCGGGTTTAGGGTTCGGGGTTGGGGGTCTGGGGTTTGAGGTTGAAGGTTGAGGGCCGAGGGCTTCGGGCTTGGGCTACGTTCAGATATGCTCGGAGTTGGTGTGCTAGGCCAGGGCACTTAACTCGCTGCTCAAGAGTTAGGGCCCCCCTCTGGTACTACTTGGTAGCTGTTCTCATAGAACCCATTATAGACAACGGAAAGGTAACAGGGCTCTCAGCGGAACCCTGTCCACAGCTTCGAGGTTCAGGTCTTGCCCCAAATCAATAGGATTAAGGCAGGACCCCTGGAAGGGACCCTTCATCTTATTCTCCAACCCACACTTTATATAGTCCCTATTATACCTAAGCAGCCCCTGAAACCCTCAATAACCTAGTAAACAGCTCATGTGTAGTTTTCTGCCCAGGGTCCTGCGCCAGGTCCTGCCGTGCTGCCACCTCCCAGGATCGAGTTTCCCTAAGGAACTGGGGCCCCAAGCCCTAAGCCCCAAGCCCCAAGCCCCAAGCACGAAGCCCTAAGCCCTAAGCCCTAAGCCCTAACTAGACCCACCTGGCTAACGTTGGGCCTCTTAGCACCCTACTTACAGCTACCCTTGTACCTTCATGTTGTACCAATAACCCCAAACCAAGCCCTCCCATGCAAGTGTGGGGAAAAATTTCCTAAACCCTAAACCCTAAACCCGCACTCGGCCAGGTTTGGGGGTTAACTCTGTATCATTGTGTAGGGACAGGCAAACCCTTGCAACGTCTCCAAGCCCATCTTGCTGGAAGTTCGCGGGCAATTAGAAGCAGGGATAGATGTGCACGAACAGCTGCCCTAAACCCTAAACCCTAAACCCTAAACCCTAAACCCTAAACCCTAAACCCTAAACCCTAAACCCTGAACCAACAGCTGCCCTATGTAGAAGTATGCGTGTGTTCCTTCAAGAACGAGCTTCCCCCAGCCTCACCCTTCCGGGCGTCTTCCGCCATCTGCCGAGCATCTTCCGCCAGCTGCCGAGCCTGCTCCTCCCTGTACAGGGCGTCCGCCTGGCCAGCGCGGCTAAGAGACGTGTACTTTGGGCACATGCCCCATTATACTAGCAGTCCTTAATTAGGGATTAAAAATCGGGGGTACTCTAATCCCGAGTAAGGACTGTTCGTAGAAGGGGGGAACATCCCAAGATGAGTCCTTTTCATGGTTAGTTCTCTCTGGGGCTACCCGCCGAGTCATGGCTGCTTGTAGCCTCATTTGGGGGGTGCTCATGACCTACTTGCCTACTTGCTTGCCATGACTTCTAGAACGAACGGGCAGTGCCTGTTCTTTGATGCATCATGCAAAGCCACCAAGTATCCAGTGCCATGACGCCTTGAGGTGCAGGCTGAGGCAGGCTATCGCCGCCCAGACCGAAAGGAGTCTAAGCAAGGGTTGAGGGTTTAGGTTTTTATCGTTCCGCCTGTCCTGTGGGCTTTGCCTTAGCTGCATCAAGACAGTATAACAGCACCACCATATTAAAGATCAAGAGTTTCGTACGCCATCGTACTTCCGGGTGTGGCGTCTGATCACAATCGGCTGGAACCCTAAACCCTAAACCCTAAACCCTAAACCCTAAACCCTAAACCCTAAACCCTGAACCCTGAACCCTAAACCCTAAAAAAGATCCTCTTGAAATTAGTAAAGGGGAAATGCCAAAGCATCCCAACCTACCTAGACTAAGCGCGGCTAGACAGAGAACACCTCGATTGATCTTGGTCGGCCTGTTCCTTTGAGCGAACCCTCTTGCGGATCTCAGCTGTGCTCAGGTACTTTGCTAACTAGGTTGGCCCCTAAAGCCCTCTGAAAAACAATTCCTGAATATGATCCTCTTAAACCCAAATAAGGGAAAATAAAGAAATGTCCCAAGGGCCTACCTAGTTAAGCAATTACTCAACCCCCAGCCCATCCTTGTTTTTCAGTGGGGACCACGTCGACATCAACTTCGGACTATGTGCGAGCTGTGAGGAACTACATGTGCGGGCCAGCAGACGCGCCCAAGGACTCGGAATCCACGCGAAACTCTAAGCCTTAGGCTCGAAGCCGAGGCCCTACTTCAACTTCACCTCGCCTGCTAACCCTCCCTCCGATGTGCCTCACGCTGCTCCGCTCCAGCCAGGGCGTCACGAAGTACGGACAGCTCCTGCTCACGTCCAGTGCTTTGAGCAGGTCATGTTCAGGGTTTTATAAGTAGCTCTCTGACCATCATGCAGTGTTGCTTTAAACTCAGATGACTCAGTGTCGAAGGCTTATATGCAGGCGAGCAGTATGGCAACTTAAGAGCACCACCCGCTCCCCAAAATTAGGGCTATTTTAAGGACAATGAAGCCTAATTAAGGTCGTTTCATGGGGGAACCTGGGGGGGGGGCAGTTTCAGGGGGGTAGTAGGGAACCCATGAGAGCACGGGAGGAGGGTTCCGGAGCCCACACGTCGCTGCTTCCGGAGCAAGCACTGGCCTCCTTGGTGGATTTTCCGATGGACAAATCCTGGCCAGAGGTTTGGGGTTTATGGTTTAGGGTTTAGGGTTTAAGGCAGGGGGGAATGTCGAAAACAGGACAAAGAAACGGCACGTGGCAAATTCTCCGGATTCGGGTGCCCTCTTCAACGCCTGCGTAACGCAGCCTCTTCTCACGAGGGACGATCACTCAGAGAACTGGCCAAGAAGCCAACTCCCGGGCCCTGTCTACAAGAGAAGATCAAGTCGACACAGCCCACTTCCAGGTAGGTTGCTTGCGGGTGGGGGGAGGAGGGGTGGCTGATTCCCAAGTTCAACTCTAAACCCTAAACCCTAACATTGGCACTGAAAAGACGTCTGGGCTATCACTTGCCGAATATGCTTGGGGCCGCGTTCAGAAAGATCGGAACATTGGGCTTGTTCAACAATTTCGGCCCCTTTTTGGGATCTCTACTACCAAAAGGGCTTTTGAGGGTTTAGGATTATGGGTCCAGGGTGCAGGGTCACCAATATGACAATCCAAAACAAAAAGACTATTCCTCCAGTCATGGCGTGGTCTCCCTCAACCCGAATGCCTACTTCAACCCGAAACCCTCAACCCGAAACCCTAAACCCTAAACCTGGAGAGCTCAGGGGTGAAACCCTAAACCCTACACCAGAAAAATCGAGCTCTCTGGAATCCCTTGGAGGGAAAGAGTAGCTGCGTCCTGCCCGCTGAGCAAGGTCGTGCCGAAGGTGCGCCTAACCTCCAGGGGCCACAAGGAGGTTCAGGGTATGAAGTTGCCTTACTGGAGGTCGGGTTTAGGGTTTAGGGTTTAGGGTGTAGGGTGTTCTGGTCCCGTGGTGTAACGGTTAGCACTCTGGACTCTGAATCCAGCGATCGCGGTTCAAATCCGCGCGGGACCTTTCTAGCCACTGTGCCCAAGAGCCTACCAGCTGGCGTGGCGGTGCTGGCCGATACTTGGGGGGTAGGAGGCGCCATGGAAGGTTCTTCGGCGTGGGTTCTGGAATCGGATTGGTGCAACTTGGTGGGGCAAGCTTTGTGCGAGCCCGCAGTCTGCCCGTCATGTCCTGATCCAGTTCAGGTTCTGCATCCGCAAGAGCTGGCCCTGCTGCATGATGTCCAGGAGATTGGCCCTTGTTTCGCCCCGAGCTCCACCGTGCGCATTGAAGGTTGTCGTGCTGCGGTTCCGGTTGTAGGTGCAACGGCCGATGCCCGTGTCCAGGACCTCACCCCTGGCCCGGCCTTTGGGGTCCTAGGTGGTTTAGCCCCGAACCCCACCGCGCGCGTCAACGCTTGTCACGCTGCCAGGGTTCCGGTAAGTGCCAAGGCCGATGCCCGTGTCCAGGACCTCACCCCTGGCCCGGCCATTGTAGGGGTTCTAGGTGGTTTAGCCCCGAGCCCCACCGTGCGCGTCAATGCTTGTCACGCTGGGGGTTCTCGTAGGTGCCAAGGCCGATGCCCGTGTCCAGGACCTCACCCCTGGCCCGGCCATAGGGGTCCTTGGTGGTTTGGCCCCGAGCCCCACCGTGCGCGTCGAAGATTGTCATGCTGCCAGGGTTCCGGTTGTAGGTGCCAAGGCCGATGCCCGTGTCCAGGACCTCACCCCTGGCTCCTAGGTGGTTTAGCCCCGAGCCCCACCGCGTGCGTCGAAGCTTGTCGCGCTGACAGGGTTCCAGTTGTAGGTGCCAAGGCCGATGCCCGTGTCCAGGACCTCACCCCTGGCCCGGCCAGAGGGGTCCTAGGTGGTTTAGCCCCGAGCCCCACCATGCATGAAGGTTTTGACACTGCCAGGTTTCCGGTTGGACCTCACCCCTGGCCCGGCCTTAGGGGTTCTAGGTGGGTTTGTCCCCAACCCTCCCGTGGGCATTGAAGGTTTTCGTGCTGCCAGGCTTGTAGGTGCAACGGCCGATGCGCGTGTCCAGGACCTCACCCCTGCCCGGCCATAGGGGTTTTAGGTGTAGGCCCGAGCCCCCCCTTAAGCCTAGAGGTGGAGGCTGCGTCGTCCGTGCCATTTGCGGAGGAGGAAATCGTCCGTTTTGTGTCGTCTGAGACCCGGCCCTTGGTTGAGGCGCTCTGCCAGGCCGGCTTAGCGGACAGGCTCCCATGGCAGGTGTGGGATGAACAGCGGCTGTTGCTTGCAGGGTCTGCGGCTGTAGTGGCAGGCCAGGCATACTGGGCACACTGTCTAGCTCCAAAAGGACCTAGGCAGTTGAGCACGGCCCCCTGTAACACAAGTGCGTGTGCTTTGCCTGCTGACGTCCAGTCCTTTCTCCAACCGATCGTGCCGACAACGTGGCGTTCGTCGACAGGCTCTGACGCAACAAGGGCCTTTCTTGGCAGATGATCAGGTTGCAGCAAGCCTCAAGTGCCTGGCGAGCTTCACCCAGCGGAGTGTCATAGTGCTAGATCCTCTGATGCTTCAAGCTGCGGTGGCCCATGAAAGCCACAGCATCCTAACTACGTTCCTTGCGGGTGTCCAGCAGCCCTTCGAAGTCATTTCGGCCTTTTGCTCCCATGACCATTGGGTGTTTGTCCATTGGCATGTTTCCCTTGGCACTGTTGAAGCGTGGACAAGCTCCACCGCAAAGCTGCATGATGCTGATGTGGCAGTGGCGCACTGCGTTTTTGGCCGGGCGCTTGGCTTACATGCACGTTCTTTCCGGTTCCACGATGCCCCTGCCAGGGTCGAAAGCCCCAACTTGTGTGGGCCGCTTGGTTTGGTCGACCTGCTGTGTCAGTTGCAAGGTGCTGAGCCATGGCGTTTGAGCATGCTTGCGATACGGCGGCGTGGGTTCTGGCTGCGTTCGTGGCTTCTCTTGACCGCGACGGCCATGTGCGTCAGCCCGTTCTGTTGGCAGGTGCATTGCATGGAGCTGGGGCCCACCCACTCTTGGTCCAGGGCCTAGCGGCCACCCTGCGCCAGAAAGGTGTGCCGGCTGAGGCGGCGTCCGACCGTGCTCAGTCTGCAATATGCCAACTTGGTGCGGCAGCTGTCCAGAAGGCAATGACTTCGGCCCAGCCTTGGAAGCAGTTGAAAGCCTTGGCCAATCAGGCAAAGCCAGTGTTCCAGTGGATTCTTCCGTCCGAGCTTCAGGTTCACATCGAAGCCCGGTTGGCGTCGGGTGACGGCCCGAGCCATCGCCGAGCTCAACGCAAAGTTCGCAGTGTTTCAGGGCCATTGGCGCCCAGCAGCAAGGAGGTACAGGCGCCTAGGCCAGACCAGGTTGAGGTTCCCGACGGTGTCTTCATCCAGGCCAAAGGTGGCGAAGCCTTGTGTGCGCTCTCCCTGCTTGAGGTAGGACCTCAGGCAGAAGGGGTCGTCTTGGTGACGCCGGCGGAGGCGTTGCCTTACCTTGCACTCTCGAGCCCAGTTTCCAAGCGTGCGTTGGCGCTCCTTGTCCTTGGGGATATCTGTGTGTCTGGGGCCACCGCGCCTGTGTCCCAGGTTCGGTTCCAGGCCCAGTGCGTTGAGACATCTGAGCCTATGCTACTGACAGCAACCATGATCCAGATTGGCGATGTTTGGGTGGCCAAGGCTGTGCCTACTCAGGTGGCGCCGCTTGATGTCGTTGATTCCACCTTGGTTCGGGTTGCTTGCTTCAAGGACCAGTGGCCTGGAGTATGGCGGGAACTGATTCAGGCACCAGTGCGAGCAATTCTTTCTCAATGCCCTCAGCTCAGGACGTGTCGCGCCTTGGACTGTGCGTGCCCGTCGTGGCATGGCCTTAGCGGCCCAGGGGAGCCCGAAGCTCTCCTGGAGGTTTTTGGCAGGCAGTTCTTGAACGAGAATTACAAGGGGGCATCACCGTCAGAAGCTTTTGTGTTCAACGCCATCCTGCGTATCCCGAGCCAGCTAGTGGCTCCGCTCCAGGCTGCATCCGGCCAGGCAGGCCTCTACTACGAGCCCAGGGGCGCTGACCTACGCGCCCCGTCGCTCCAGTGGACCGTTGTCTGGTTGCCGCGTCATTCTCACGCAGAGGCTTTGGTAAAGAAGCAGGCGCACACTGAGGTGGTAGGGCTGGCGCGAGTCGGTGAGCGCTATGGCTTGAGATGCCTCGCTGCTCAGGCACGGGAGCTTCACAGCAAGGTGCGGCCGGATGCAGAGTACATCCCACGCGAAGGGGCAGTCACGTATCACGTAGGCCCGTGGCCCTTTGGAAGCCAACGCCACACCTTGGCCAAGACATTCCGAGCCATCTCGTGGCCAGCCATCCCTCAGCAGCCCTTGCCTGCAGGTGGTCAAGGCGCGGGCATTTGGTGGGTAGTCCAGGCCTCGGAGCGTCCTGACAGATCTGTCATTCCCACAGCCCAAGGGGAAATCCTGATCGTTGAGCAAAAGGCCCGTGTGGTCGAAGCGCCACGCGTGCCGACTGTCGTTGCGTCCAAGTCTGCCCTTCGTCGCCTCTCGGAATCCCGTGTCGAGGCTGATCCCCTTGATGTGTCAGACCCATGGCAACAGTATTTGGATGGCAAGGCTAGTGGACAGAGCCAGGCACTCCGCGGGGAATCATCAGGATCCTCCGGACCAAGAGCCCAGGGTGTCACTCAGGCGGAGTTCCAGCAGCTGGCGCGCCGACTTGAAGAGTCGGTGGGCACACAGGTTGCCACACAGGTTTCGCAGGCGCACAGGTCTTTTGATGGCCGCTTGGCAGGTGTTGAGGAGAAGGTTGGTTCTCTTCATCAAAGGGTCGATGCCCAAGAGCAAGGTCTGCAGCAGGTCATCCAGAACATGTTTGCGGCCCAGACGCAGCGCATCGAGGAGCTCCTTGGAGCGAAACGCCACCGTGAGCAGTGACTAGGTTGGGTTTGTGGAGCGGGGTTTGGGGGTTGGGGTGCGCAGGTCAGCTGCCCTGTGGGTAGGTGCGAGGTGCCGCGAGCATTCCGCGGATGCGGTGGTTGGTGGCACGTTGTTTGGCTTGCTTTCTTTCTCTCTTTTCATTGGGGTGAGGCGTGCCATCCAGGACCTGTCCGGCAATCAGGTAGGTTTCAGGTTGGCGCCATTAACCCGACAGGGTTGAATGGAAAGGCCTCTGTTCTTTCAACGATCCATCCTGGCATCTGGGGCATATCTGAGACTCATCTTTCAGCCCAAGGCTTGCGCCAGTTTAGGCAAGGTCTGCGTTTGAACCAGGCCCCATTCACGTTTCTCCCGGGGGCCCCGGCGCCCCTGCGTACCGGAAGCCAAACTTCAGGTGGATACACAGGAGTCGGCTTTGCATCTTCATATCCCGTCCGGGCATCCCCGACCGGGTGGCACCAGGATGTGTGGAATACCGCACGCGTCCAATTGGCCTCTTTTTACGTGGCTCCTTTTTGGGTCCAAGGGGCAGTGGTTTATGGCTGCCCGGCGGACCAAGCCAAGACGCACGTTCTTCTAGATGCGGTCACTGAGCGGTTGGTGCTTAACTCTCGCGGCCCGAGGTTTGTTGTGGGTGACATGAATCTCCTGCCTCAACAGCTTGAAGCTGCCCACCCCGAATGGTGCCAGCATGGGTTTCGTGAAATTCAGGCGGTCGCGGCAGCGAGATGGGGCTGGCAGGTGCAGTCTACATGCAAGCATGCCACTCAGAAAGACCACCTGTGGGTGTCACCTGAGCTTGCCTCCATGCTGTGCGAGGCGCAGGTGCAGCATGACGTTTTTGCGGACCATGCAGTGCTGGTGGGCACGTTCTTAGGAGGTCAGGCCATGTTATCGCGGTTTTGTTGGCGCATGCCCCAGCCTGCGCTTGAACCGAAGGCAAAGGTGCAACCGCTGTCGACGCAGCCAGCCGTGCCATTGGACACATCTCGCCCTTCACAGGCCTACTCTTCCTTGTGGCGTCAGTATGAGGACCGATGGTCCGACGACAGAAGCGCGCGACAAATCGAGCCCTTGACTGAGGCCCAACGTGGCCGGGCAGCCACCCTGGATACCAAACTTGTTCGCACGGCTCCCGTACCGATGACTAAGGGCAGGCATGGTGAGGCCGAGGTAACCTTCTTTGGTGGGGATTGGTGGTTCGGTCGGTGGTTCAAGCAGCTTCGTCGTTTGCAGGCCTACATGCAGGTCGCGTGCAGCGCGGCAAGGTCGGAAGGCCGAGCCGAAGCCCAAGCCAATCGGTGGCGCGCTGTTCGCCGAGCAGCAGGTTTCAAACCGTCGTTTGCAGAGCGGTGGCTATGTCGCAAAGTTCGCATGGCTGGGGATCCAGACAGGATGCCTGTCAACCCGCCAGGGGCCCAGTGTGCGCAGCAAATCTTTCAGACGTTCGAGGCTTGTTTCCGTGACTTGGAAAGCCAACTTAAGAAGCACACGCGCAAACTGGCGCAGCAGCGCCGGGTGGACAATCCATCTTTGATTTTTCGGGACATGAAGCCTGATCAGGCTGAGCCGGTAGAGACCCTTGTCGGGCGACGTCGCAAGCCTGCGCCCGAACGACTTGGTGCGCCAGGACGTGCTGCTCGGGGACCTCCCCCAAATCTTCCAAGCCTTCGCCAAAGAATGGATTCAAAGGTGGATCCGGCCGGACCACTTGGAGGCGCATAGGTGGGACGGCCTGTTGGCTAGCTTTCCGTTGCCCCAAGGCCGACCTATGGTGCTCCCGCCCATTTCTGAAGAGACATGGCGAGCGGCGGCGCGGGCGAAGCGGTCTTCGGCAGCCATAGGGCCTGACGGCGTGTCACGCGAGGACTTGTTGCGCCTTCCCTCGGATCTTGTGCAAGGCATGTTGGCCATTTACCAGGAAGCCGACCACCACCGGCAAATGGCCTGAACAAATGCTGGTAGGCATAGTGGCAGCGTTGGCAAAAGTGCCACACGCCAGGGAGGTGACGCAGTACAGGCCAATAACGGTCTTGTCGTTGTCATATAGGGTTTGGGGGTCTATCCGCGCGCGTCAGGCGCTGGCCTATCTCCGGGGAGTGGTGCCTGACACGCTGTATGGCAACATGCCGGGGAGGGCTGCGGCTACCATTTGGTGGCAGCTTCAGGCAGAGGTGGAGCGTGCGCAAGCCCAGGGCTACGTTCTGGCAGGGGCTGCCCTTGATTTGCAGAAAGCCTTCAACACTTTGCCCAGGGTGCCAGTTCTTGCTCTTGCCGAGTTGGTTGGCCTCCCGGCTGGGTTGGTGAGAGGTTGGTCCGGCGCTTTAACTGGGGTGCAGCGCAGGTTTAAGGTACGTGGTTCCGTCGGTCCGGCCTTGCTTGCCAATGCAGGCTTTCCAGAAGGCGATGCCATGTCCGTTGTCGCCATGGCGCTGGTTGACTTAGCACTCCATCATCATATAGCAGCACTGCCTCTTTCCAAAGTCATTTCCTTCGTGGACGACTGGCAGCATCTCACACGCCATCCGGCCGTCATCCCGGAGGCAGTCCAAGCCACCAAGGCCTTTGCGCAATCCTGGGACATCGCGCTGGATGAGTCTAAAACTAAGGTCTGGGCGACAACCGCGGAAGCCCGGAAGGCACTTCGAAACCAAGGTTTCCAGACCACGCTGGATGCTCGTGATTTAGGGGGCCATCTGTCCTTCTCTAAACGTGTATCTGTCTATACCATCACGACCAGGATTAAATCAATGCAGCCCCTCTGGCCGCGGCTTCAGCTGTCACCTGCCCCCTTTGAGCAGAAGCTTCGTGCGCTCTCAGTGGCGGCCTGGCCGCGCGCGCTTCATGGCATTTCGGTTGTTCTCTTGGGGGATGGGCACTTTGACGGGTTGCGTAGTGCGGCTGTGCGAGGGCTAGGGGCCAAGCGGCCTGGGCTCAACCCAGCTGTTTTGTTGGGGCTCACTGTTTATCCGGTGGCCGATCCTGCCTTCTTTGCGCTTCTTTCCACATTCAGAGATCTTCGAACCCATGGGTCGCCAGCAACAGTGGGCCAGTTGGCCGATCCCATTGCTGTGGGGGCACTTCCTGTAGGCACGGGGCCGGTTTCGGTTTGGTTGGGTAGGTGTAATGCGGTGGGTTTGGCTTGGAGGCCCGAAGTGCAGATGCTGGAGGATTCACTGGGGGCTTTTGATCCTTGGGCCACCTCCATGCAGGAGGTTGAGCTGCGATTGGTTCGCGCATGGCAGGGATCCATCGCATCCCGCGTGCAGCATCGGCGAGGGTTTGCAGGGTTGAGACAGGCTGATCCTGTCCTCACGCGCAAGCTTACAGCCCAGTGGCCGGCTGAGGACAGGGCCTTGATACGCATCACGCTCACAGGGGCCTTCTTTACAGAGGATGCCTTGCACCACATTGGAGGCGGCGATTCGCCATTATGTCCCTTTTGCGACCAGCGTGACGGCGTTGAGCATAGGGTTTGGCGCTGCACTGCTTTCAACCGCGAGCGCCAGCAGGCCCTTCGGGGGAGCACTTTCACTTTCGAGGACTTACCGCCGTGCCAGTCCATGCATGGTTGGTGCATGCAGCCGCGTGAGCTTGACGTGCTACAGCAAGAACTGCTCGGCATACCGTGCTTGCTTTGTGATTTTCAGGTGCCGCATTCGGCAGAAGATCAGATCGACTTGTTTACCGATGGGTCATGTTTGCTTCCAAGAGAACACCACCTGCGTTTGGCAGCTTGGGCTGTCACAGTTGCGGCCCCCGTGGGCGAGCCAGCAGTCATCCTTGCCGCAGGGCCGGTGCCAGGCCTTGCGCAGACTGCCTATCGCGGCGAGCTGTCCGCAGTTCTGTCCGCCCTCAAGTATGCGCAGGCCTCAGGACGTAGGGTTCGCCTTTGGAGTGATTGTCTGGGGGTAGTTCGGGGTGTTCGGGGGTTGGTTGAGGGGTCGGTTCGGCTCGTTAGGCCAACGGCGCGAAACGCCGACCTTTGGCTGCAGGTCCGAGACATTTTGTGGGAATATCCTGACCGTTTTGGGGGCATCTTTAAGGTTCCAGCGCATGAGGCATTGGGGGAGGATGCCACTTTCTTTGAGGAATGGATACGCCACAACAATGATCAGGTCGATGGGGCAGCGAAGCAGGCCAATCGCGCGAGGCCACAGCGGTTCTGGGATATCTGGGATGAGGTGCGTCGTGACGTGGCGTACCAGCAGCATGTGGGCAGCATCGTCTTGGGCCTCCACAGGGCCATCGGACGTGCTTCGTGCAGGGCAAAACGCAAGCAGCGTGAGCCGGCTGACGTCGAGCTGCAGGTGGTGCCACCTGTGCCGGATGAAAGATCTCTGACGTGCCCCGTGGTCCCTGAGCGAGATTTGGCCACTGTTTTCGCCAAGTTTGGAAGGCCTTATGTGATGGTCTTAAGCAACTGGCTCCGTTTGGTCACTGGCGCTGGTGGCGTTGTAGCTGCTCGACCCCGCTGGGTTTCTCTGGCACAACTTTACCTTGCATTCCGACGTGCCACGGGAATGGAAATACCATTTTATAGGCAGTCTTCGAAGGCATGGTACTCAACGGCCCCAGGGCCAGAGGAGATGTTGCGTGAGGTTCCCCTAGGTCGGCGAGCAACTTGGTTTTTGACCCAGGTCAAGGCCGTGGTCAAAGCTGCTGGTGGAAACTGGTACACTCAGGAGACCCGGCCGTCTTCTGCCATTCTCCAGTGCCGCCTCCTTTCCGTCTACATGCGCTTCCCGGCAGAGCAGTTGGAGGCTGTGGAGTCGCTTTTGGCAGCAAGGCTGGGACGTGAATGCCAACGACATGATCGCAGATGGGCTGCCCTAACTTCGTTGTGATCGCTTTGATTTATGATTTCGTGTTTCTTGGAGCCTCGAGGCTTATTCCTGGTCTTTCGCCCAAGGCGTCGGATTGGCGCAAGCGCCGCCATAGTTGCTACGCTTGAGCTGTTATGGAAAGGGTGGAAAGGGTGTAGGGTGTAGGGTTCAGGGCTTAGGGGAAGTTTAGGGTTTGACCTGCTTGGCTGGTTCGGCACAGCTTGAAACCACCTGCTGAGAGAGGTGCAACTAAACAAACTTACGAGCCTAAAGACTCTGAAGCAAAAAATTGAACCTTCAGTCCCCAGCCCTAACCCCAAATCTTGACCCAACTCCCAACTTGGAGGTTCGTGGCGCTTGTTAACCAATTGCAACTGTACTTGCAAATGTACTTCTAAGCATATTAGGGCACTTAAGGGGCTTATTAGTGGCTTGTCAGTACAGTTATATCTGGTTTACTAAGTACCCTAAACCCTAAACCCTAAACCCAAAACCCTAAACAATAGACAGTAGACCCTAAAACTTAAACCCTAAACCCTAAACCCTAAACCCTAAACCCTAAACCCTAAACCCTAAACCAGCAAGAGCGCCTGGCGCATCTGGCGGAGCGCATCCGGCTTGGTGGGCGTGGGGAGGCCCAAGATCAGATCTGCCGGGCCCCTGAAGTTTTATTAATATGTATTATTATGTTTGTTTTTTTTGTTTTTTTTTTTTTGGGGGGGGGGGGTTAGGGTTTAGGGTTTAGGGTTTAGGGTTCAGGGTTCAGGGTTCAGGGTTTAGGGTTGGGTTTAGGGTTTAGGGTTTTCACTGGGCTGAGGGGCTGAGGGCTTACGCTACGCTAAGCCAGGGGCCAATTGGCAACTCTCCCAAAAACGCAAACTGTGCAGGCCAGAATCGCAGCCTATTGTCTTGCAAGTTCTCTTACAGTGCTGTTGTTACTGTTGTTGCTGTTGTCGCTATGGCTACTATGGTTGCTGTTGGTACTAGTATTACTATTTCTTAACTTTTTACTAGTGCCAGAGTTGTTACGACCGCTGTTATTGCCAATATTGCTACTTCCGCTACTAACGGTCTTCCTGTTACCACTGTTATGAGTGTTTTCAAAATATGAAGGCTGCTGTTGTCGTTGTTAGTAGTGGTATTGTCGCTATTTGTGCGAGTATTGGTATTGTTGTCATGTTCTTGCTATTGTTGCGCTTACATTGTTAGTATTGACATTTTAAGTTGTAGCCATCACTGTACTGGCCGTCATTTTTTGCTCTTCTTATTGAGATATAGACAGTATTAACTGTTCTTGTTCCTCTTGTTACTGTTGCTAAAACTGTCATCGTGGAGTCTGTTTCTATCGGCACTGTTGTGACTTTTGCGGATGTTGCTATAATTGTTACTATTGTTGCTGTTGCCATTATCGTTCCGATTTCTCAGCTTGGTTGGCACGGTTGTTGTTCCTGTGTTGGTTGCGCTTGTTGTGTTTGGTGTTGTTGACATTGTCGCTGCTATTGTTGTTCTGGTTCCGGTTCATGCTATTTCTTGGTTGCTCCTATGTTTGTCATTGTTGTTAGTATGAATGCTGTGCTGAGATGATAGTATCACTACTATTCTCGGGATGAACGCTACAGCTGACGCTGGGGCAGTGTTTGCTAGTGCTGCCTCTGGGAGCCCCCTCGGGCCTAACCCTAAACCTTAAACTAAACCCTAAACCCTAAACCCTAAACCCTGAAGTGCTGCCAAAGAATAAGGGGCCGACTGAAAGACCAAGCCGAAGCGAGACCGGTCTTCCTGGATGGAGCAACGTGAGCCGGCCCCGCATGTGACTGGTTTGAAGTCGGTTTCAAGCTTCGGTTGCTATGGCAGGATGAAGGACTGAGGTATGGTGTGCGGGCACTTATACTGGGAGTTCGACACCTGACCCCCCCCCCCCCCCCCCCCCCGGTCTCCCCCACCCCCCTCACCGCTTCCCACTCCCCTTCCCCCGCCCCTGCCACATGACCCTAAATCTCCGTAGGTGCATTTGCACAAACTGTTTCATTGCGAATGCACTCCTGTATCAGCTTGTCCTCACTGCCTTGTCCGCACTGGAAAAGAAAACTGACCTACACCAGAACATCACAACAAGAAATGTCAAAAACACGCTTTAGGGTTTAGGGGGTTAGGGGTTTAGGGGTTTAGGGGTTTAGGGGTTTAGGGGTTTAGGGGTTTAGGGGGTTTAGGGGTTTAGGGGTTTAGGGGTTTAGGGGTTTAGGGGTTTAGGGGTTTAGGGGTTTAGGGGTTTAGGGGTTGAGGGGTTTAGGGGTTTAGGGGTGTAGGGGATTAGGGCCACCGCCTTGAAGAAGTAGGCCAGCTCCTGTTCGAGCTTTCGGCCCACCTTCCAGGCTTAGGGTTTAGGGTTTCAAGGTTTAGGGTTTATAGGGTTTAGGGTTTAGGGTTTAGGGTTTAGGGTTTAGGGTTTAGGGTTTAGGGTTTAGGGTTTAGGGTTTAGGGTTTAGGGGCCGTTTGTAAGCCCTGAGCCGCCGCGGCACAACCTGATACTGCTATCGATACTCGACTTTCTTACTTAAAGATACTCATGTGTATATATGTATATGTACATGTACATGTACATGTACATGTACATGTATATGTATATGTATATGCATATGTATATGTATATGTATAATTAAAGAAAATATGTGTATTTATATGAGCTTATATAGGTGCATTTTAATATGTACATATGTATATATATATATATATGTGTACATATTCATTCATCTATTGATTTACCATTTGTTGTTGCTTGTTTGTACTTGTTTGTGTGTAGATTTATGTGCGCGCATTTTTTAAAGCGCAACTTGAGAGGCAAAGCCGAGGACAACGAAAGCTGGCCTGGATTGACGCCAATATGAGGCACACCCCACACCAGGACCACACTCCACTCTCCACACGCCGCAATCCACCACACACCAACACCCTACGCACCACAGAGAACCACACTCCAACTCCACCACACCCCACACACGCAGGCACACAGGCACTCACGAAGACCGCGAACCAGGTCTGAGGAGCTCTCCGGAACACGCGTTTCAGAGAACGCGCGCTCATACAGACCCGACCGGGCTACACAAACACCACCACCGCACACTACTACCAACACCACCACCGCACCAGACTCCACCTTCCACCACACACATCCACACTGCACCACACACCAACACGACAACCTCCAAACTCCAGAGGCCGCAATCATCTATAACGCAACAGCGTATAGATGCCACCCCCCCTTTTACCGATATCCCCACAACGCCCTGCGGTGTGAGGCCCGAACGCTGGCAATTTCCCTCAGTCTCCTCGTCGCAGTCTCCTGGCTTCGGGATGCTTCTTAAGACTCTTGCCTTAAAGTTCAGGGTTTAGGGTCCAAGGCTTAGAAGGATTCAGGGCTTTGCCTGTATGAGCTAGCCTCTACATACGACTCCGTTTAGGACTCAAGGAGTCTGTTTTGCAGCTGCCATCTCCCGAAATCTCAAGAGCATTACAGAGCTAGTCGTCCCCTCAAGATACGATTATTGCTTTCGTCGACTGCCTGGACCTCACACAGCCCGCCCTGCACCTGACCCCGCCGACAGCATGTTGATTTTGCTTCTGACCAGCTTGCTTCGACTCGGCTTGCAGCCTCCAGAAGTGAGAACCTGAACCGGCTCCAGCAAAGAGAGTTGGTTTCGGCGATACAAAAGGCCCCCCACCAACTCAACTCAGCTGGAGCCCGGGTCTGACGCACGCAGGGTCAAAGCGTACGTGGATTTTGTGCCACGCAGCAGCGGGGAGGCTGCGATGATCACCGGCAAGGGGGCTTGCAAGCTGAGCTTTGGGGCAAGGCAAGCACCTGCAAACTGATCCTGGATCTTCTGCCACGCGGCAGCAGGGAGGCTGCGACGATGGGGCCAGCACCTGCAAACTGACCCTGGATCTCCTGCCACGCGGCGGCAGGAAGGCTGCGACGATCACCGTCAATGGGGCTTGCAGTCTGATGAGCCTTGTGGCAAGCACCTGCAAACTGAGCAGCAGGGAGGCTGCGATTACCACCGGCAATGGGGCTTGCAGTCTGATGAGCCTTGTGGCAAGCACCTGCAAACTGATCCTGGATCTTCTGCCACGCGGCAGCAGGGAGGCTGCGATGATCACCGGCAAGCGGGCTTGCAGTCGGATGAGCGTTGTGGCAAGCACCTGCAAACTGATCCTGGATCTTCTGCCACGCGGCAGCAGGGAGGCTGCGATGATCACCGGCAAGGGGGCTTGCAGTCTGATGAGCGTTGGGGCAAGCACCTGCAAACTGATCCTGGATCTTCTGCCACGCGGCGGCAGGAAGGCTGCGATGATCACCGGCAATGGGGCTTGCAGTCTGATGAGCGTTGGGGCAAGCACCTGCAAACTGATCCTGGATCTTCTGCCACGCGGCAGCAGGAAAAACTGCGATGATCACCGGCAATGGGGCTTGCAGTCTGATGAGCCTTGTGGCAAGCACCTGCAAGCTGATCCTGGATCTGCTGCCACGCGGCAGCAGGGAGGCTGCGATGATCACCGGCAATGGGGCTTGCAGTCTGATGAGCGTTGTGGCAAGCACCTGCAAACTGATCCTGGATCTTCTGCCACGCGGCAGCAGGGAGGCTGCGATGATCACCGGCAAGGGGGCTTGCAGTCTGATGAGCGTTGGGGCAAGCACCTGCAAACTGATCCTGGATCTTCTGCCGGCAGGAAGGCTGCGATGATCACTGGCAATGGGGCTTGCAGTCTGATGAGCGTTGGGGCAAGCACCTGCAAACTGATCCTGGATCTTCTGCCACGCGGCAGCAGGGAGGCTGCGATGATCACCGGCAAGCGGGCTTGCAGTCGGATGAGCGTTGTGGCAAGCACCTGCAAACTGATCCTGGATCTTCTGCCACACGGCAGCACGAAAAACTGCGATGATCACCGGCAATGGGGCTTGCAGTCTGATGAGCGTTGGGGCCAGCACCTGCAAACTGATCCTGGATCTTCTGCCACACGGC